AACTTTATTAGTTAGTTTTCGTACTTACCAAATTGTAGTCATGAACACAGTCACATGCTAATCAGATGCAGTAAAATTCATAAGATTGCCCACTTATATGGGCTAGCGGTTACAAAGTATCGTGTTGCTGCCAAACTATAATTTAAACAGAAATAGGTGCAATCGCACCTTGTTTTCCATTGCTATCACAGTGGCCACAGTTCTGCCTTTTGTGCAATTTGATCCCCAACTTTGTCTTTTTGTTTGGTTTGAGCCGTTCTTATGTATGATTTTAATCCTTCATCTTCTGTTTTAGTCAAATTTGATCCATGTAATCTTAATTTTTGTTCCTTTATCCGAATAACTTTTAAGATTTGTAATTTACTCATTGAACTTTCTAATTCTTCCCTATTGCCCTTCTTTGATTGATTTTTACCTCTTTTTATATAAGCCATTTAAACTTGAGTTTATCCCACAACAATCAATATTTAATTAACCAAAATATATAATAATTTTGTCAAATTGACTAACAAGTATCCACTTTTGATGGCTCTAATAGGTAAATCACACATATAAATTGCACTAAAACTTGAACATTTATTCGGCCAGGACAAAATTAGTTATTAACATGCACCAATAAAGTACAAATAACATAGTTAGATAGCATGCAGTTTTGCCTTATGGTTCGAAATCACTTGTACAATTAATAAACGACTTCCAGGATATGCTACGAGATTAATTCAGCCAATTATCCATTGTTAAATGAATGTGGAACAAGGTTAATTCATCAAATGAAATTTAAAGATGGTTATTTTCCCGACCCTTGATATTGTCAAATATTTCTTTTTCTTCTCTCTTATCATGCACACCCTAAAAGTGTTCTTTATTTTCACTCCTACAGTTTTGATTCTAAGTTGAATATCTTATCACTCATTCCTTTCTTGCTCAAGTTCGATTGGGTTAAACAAATGGAAGTCACTACTTCCACTTGTGATAACTCTCAAGATTTGAATGTCTCAATCTCCAAATTTTCCCTAAACTAATAAACTTTGTGAAATTCAAATTTCCAAATTAAGTGTCCAAGGCTTAAACTTCTCAAATTAAGCCACCATTTGATCCCCGTTAAATTTAATTACATTACATTCTATTTTTCTCTCTCCTATTTTCAACCACACAATTTTCCATAAAATAATATTACACGTAAATCAAAAACTTTTCCTTCTTTTTCAACCACTCATTTATCTGAAAAATACTATTCCCCCCATTTTTATTTTTAGGTAATGGAGGTCAAAGGGGGCTAAGTGTTGAAGGCTTAGTCAGGGATTGCAACGTCATTGATATTCCTAAATCATTTATATGTTGACTAAATGTGAAATATAGTTTTTTCGATAAATAAACATATAGTTAGATTAATATTATGTTTCTAAAGTAAGTTCTGTCCTTATTTGTGGAGATAGAATTACTGTTTGCATAATAGTCTAAATCAAAAGTTTGAATGCAACCCACATTTTGTAGGGGATTTTCGTTGCTTTCTTCAAATCAGAATATTACGATATTCGAGAATATTTGAAATCACAAATTATACATAGTGAAAACTTGTCAAAATTGATATTCACATAATGTTGAAAATCGGATATCCGGTGAAAGGATTTAAAATGTACTAGTAAATATATTTTACAAGTTAGATTATAGATGTTTGGTAAAAATTCTCTATACAACTTGAGAGTTGAAAGAAATTTGAGAATTCAATAGAGCTATAAGCATGATGGCTTCAAATTTTTTCGAAGGATTTCTAATTGGTAACAATTTGTGCATGTTATATCAATTGAATGAGATAGCTATTTACAAATGGAATGGCACAGAATATCAAGTATAATGGCAAATCTCGACATATACGTTATAGACATAATACCATTCGACAAAGAATAACAACTTGAATCCTTTCATAAATGGGTTATCTAGAGAAAGTAAACTGCGCATCGAGAGAAATGGGTGTAATATCTAAACTAATGGGTCACCTTAATAAAAACCTAACCTACCAGCTAGCGATTCCATGGACTAGGCTCAATAGGAAAACTAGTTATGATTCATTTGATATTTCTGTATTACAAATAAGTGCTGCCTACCAAAGATTGATTATGATAACTTAAGAATTTAATGATGACTATATCTTGTAAATAGTACAAGTGGAGTATTGTAAGACTCTTTATAGAACATCACCTATATGAGTGCGAGTTTGATTGATTCTATGGGAATTTTACTTGGATGAATTCTCTAGCACACTTGTAGAATCAAGATGGTTCAAGGCCAAAATAATGAATACAATACAGATCCGACATTTGAGGTAAAAGTTAATGTTCGATATATTGTCTAGGCTAGTAGCCAATAGTTCAAAACGTTCCGTACTCTGATTAATCAAGTAAGTCCGATGGTTTCTTACTAGGGAAGGTTCAAAGCGAAAGCTATCGATCATGATGCATGACATTTCAATTGTACTCTTCATCGTCTTCCTTATTCTGGGTCGATCATTTTTCATTCACATGTGGGATTATTGGAATTAATAGTTTAATATATACAATTTAAATGTTTGAATTGAAAAAGTCTACAATAGGTATGATAACTAGACACCACTCTTCAATTACAAAGGGTGCATAATAAAGGGTCATGGTCTTAGGAATGAACATGACTATTCAAAAAGTGTATATTATGAAAAGTCCAGATTTTTTAATATGGTATGATCTACACCATCAATTATGAAATGGTGCAATCTAATTATTAAAATAAATTTATGCCAAAAAAATGCTACCAGTCAAAGAGACATATGACAACTTATAAGTATGTTCCTCCTAATTTCCTTTTCTTCACTCCAAATTAATTCCTACAAATGGTTTCTAATTCTTTCTTTCTCCAAATTCTGTCATTCGTGTTCGATATTAGTCCCTTTTAGAAGAGTACATCAAGCGTTGGTTTATCTGATAAAATTAATATAGTGTTATATTAATTTTAGAAGAAGTATTGCATCTTGGAAGACATACGTCAATTTGATCATGTTAATACCAGTGCAGTGGATGAAATTCGTTTTAACGAGATTTGCGTTCGCATACCTCGCTTCATTTCACCTCATTCCAATTTCTACATTTCAGTAAATTTTGATTTATGCACCTGCCATGATTTTATTAAGTTGTCACTCTATCTATATTAACATGCATATAATTTTTATTAGCGGAATATAAATTATGCATCAATTCATCCCAACACTTTAATGAGCAGTATTCAACATAGGACGCGGAGGCATTGTGGATGGGAGATGATCCGATCTTTGCCAAAGAAAATGGGTTCTAGTTTGAAAGTGTGGAAAGCAATGCCCTCCTGCTAGTAGAGTACTAGTTCATTTTCTAGTTTGCTCCAAATGATTCTATTTTATCAAATACTTGTACATTGTTTAGTGATGTGAATTATAGTTTGGAACCGAATAGCCCACTAAGTTGCGTCTTCTCTTTATGTAGAGATAGGAAGCATATCGTGAGTTCTAAATTCCTTGTATCTTTTGTATGTGTAATTCGCAATGATTTGAATTAATGAAAGATTCTTTACCTTAGAAAAAAGCATTATATTTAAAAGTATAGTAGAATTTCTATAATTTAATACCCGATTAATCCAATGACAATTAGATAAGATAATATTATTGGCCAGTCCAAACATGGAAATAACACTCTAAACTAATAATTCGCTAAATTTATATGATAATTCATAATAAACAAAATCATATAGATCCCATATAATTTACAAATTAATAATTTTTAATATTTTAGATAGTGCTTATGATTTGACATATGGCCTATTAAAATATGACTCAATCATTATTTATTTATTTTTTCTTGAAATTGATTTCACATGGATCTCACTAGTTTTTCTTAACATGGTAAAAAATTCTGATGTTACTTTCTCATGCTTCAAAAAAAAATATTATTAAATGTACAATCTACTTTTTGAGCCCGATTTTCTCAAAACTCAATTTTCTACCACATATTCCCCCAATAAAATAATTTTACACGTAAACTTACAAAATTTTCACACTTGTGACATATTCTTCAAAAATCACTATTTATATTTAAGAAAATAAAGATGTACATCTTATAATTTAATAAGTTATCAAGTAATCAATAAATTGATAAATAATAAAATTCACTAAATTAATAGATTCTCTCAGGTCTCATGGATATTAATTTATAGATTTAACTGGGGTAAGTTATAAATTCACTTTAGCTAACTTAGATAAGTTTACCTCAATTATGTTCAGTGGAGTAACTATGTTTTAATATAATTTCAATCGAAAAATCACACTTTAATTTGATTTTAATTAAGATAACTTTATCCAATTCTACTAACAATAGTCGATGACATAAAAGCTAATATACTATAATTATTAACATAACTATAAATTGTTAGGGTGAAATATGTAAAACCAAATTGAGTTAAATGGCAGACATCATTTATTAACAGCCAAATCATCGATTTTAATTAGTTCAAGGAACCGAAATTAGACAAAGTTACCTGATTGAATTTAAAATTATTTACCTGAAAGTACAATTACTTGATTAAAACAGAGCAAAAGTGTAATTACAACAAATGATAATTACCCACTCTAATGACAAACATGATTACAAAGAGCACAAGAGCCAAGCCAACTCATCCAACATAGCACAAAAATAACAGTAACAGACTTCTCATATCATGAAATGGAATCCAAAAATACATTGCTATCTATAAATTAAAGGCGACTCTCGGACAATACTGTACAATCCAAATACAAAGACTCCTAAAACACTAATTCAGCTCCTCTTCAAGAAATGCCACAGTAAAAAAATTTCAAAGATGCAGCATCAGTCACAATATGTCCCTTAATCAACAAGGTTAATGACCACTCTAATGCTCTCACTATTTCCCAAGCAATAAAAGCACTCTCAAATATGAGCAAGACCCCTATCTATGTAAATTAGTCTACGATTATGAACTATTGATTAAACCCAAGAAGTGGTTTCGTCCGATCTTTTTACCTTGGCAGCAAATGTTTCTGCTACCAGGAGAGGGAAAGCAATAGTTGCATCACAGTGCACCTGGTTTTATCAATGAAAAATAACCGAATTGTAAACTATACAGCACATTGATGAATTGAAAGACAAAGAAACAAAATGTCCAACCTTCACCGAATTAGCAAAACCTCGAATTTTACCCCAAGACACAGCTTTGTCAGGGTGGGCAACTGAATCACTTCCATCAGACTCTTGTGATGTGTCGATAAATATAGCATAATCTGCACCATTACGCATCATATTTGCATTGCATATATGATGCTTGGGTAGCCCCTCTCCAAGAATTACCATTCCAGTCTTTCTGAGACCAGCATGGACCGCCTCACAATTCATGGCCCTAATATCTGTTTATCTTAATTGTGTCCATTATTCTACATTGTTACAAATTAGCATAAGATGACAGTGAAGATCTTCAACTTGCACAATGTCGATGACTAGATCGGGCTCCTTTTTGAAAGAGTGGAAATACAACATATCACCCAGTGAACCATCTATTAAGCCAAGGAAGAAGATAGGAATATTGTTCTGCAAAGAGAGAATAAAAGATAAATCTGATAAACTCAACAACAAAAAACTAACTCTTCTTCCTTACAAATTCAGGTCTGTCCACATGAGTTATTGTTTATCGCTCCATTCAGTTCATTGTTGTATCTACTGGAATATGTAAAACAACTAGATCCTTAAAATCTACCATTGGCTATATGATGCAAATTGGAAAGTCTATTTTAGGCGTAAAAGAAACTAAAATCATTTAGAGTAATATTTTCCATTATTCCATTCGTCCAGATCATAACAGCCAACATGTTCTCTCTCTTTATTCTTCTTTACTAGTTGTTATAATCCTAATAAAAAGGAGAGAAAAAAACGTGAAATAGAAATCAATTGCAGTCAGTCTGTTGTTTTAAGTCAAATCCAGGAGAACACTGATGCTGATGCTGTACCTAAAAAGGGCTTTAGCATAGCCCACTACTTACACCAAATACGTACCACAACCCCAAATACCAACCCACTACAGACATTTACCAAATACCAGCCCATATAAAAAGCTTAAACGGCCCAACAAAATGAAATTAGTAACACCCATTCTTGGGCCCAATCTACAGCAAGCCCAAACCCATGACCCACTACCAGCCCAACCACCACCACATTCATCGTCCTCCCTCACGTCATCGACTTTTCAGTGCATTCCATCACTACATTAGTTTTCAATCTCCCCTGCCTCTTTCTTCTATATCCTACTACCACCTGCCGCTGTCTCCCCTGTAATCTGTTATTGATCGCTGCTTTTCAACTCGAGGACAACCTTCGACTTCTCAACGCCTCGCTACTTGAGGAAATTGATTTGTGAAAATAATTTAACTCGTTTTTTTTAATTTTTAATTGCATCCAATTGACTCTTAGCAATCTTCAATTATCGTTTTTTGATCTGAATAAACTATTAAAAAGTTACAATTGAAAACTCAAATTTTGAATTTCAATTTTACTTTCAATCATCGAGTTTCATCTAACAAACAAAATATATAATAAATAGAGCTATAATTATCAAAAGATCACCGAAACATTTAATTTAAGGCCCAATATACGTGGATATACTATACTTATCAACTGCTAACTATCTACTAACTCTGGATAACATAGTTTTGTAATTTTGGAAATCTTTATAGTCTTCCAAGGTCAAATTGGGCGCAAAAGAATGCTGCATGAGGGTGACTATATTCGTAAAGACGATCAAATTTTCATAATGTGGCTTTACTACTTAACTAATGTACTATGCAGATTAACAATTGATAAATTGCAATGATTAGTGAACACATTCTTGACAGCTGTAGAGTGAATGCAGCCAACAAAGCTCAACTATTTGTCACAAAAATTTCAAACACTATAGTCTGTGTTCCACTTAACTTACACAACGACGCTCAAAATGTGTATAATTGTTGCTACAAATCCTACTATGCATCAAATTATAGAATTTTCTAATTGTTGCTCTTGTTTCTCTCTCTAATTTGGCATGACTTTTACATAAGACTTGTTAAAAATGAACATCATTTCCACCTGGTAAAAAATTCTAGTTTGAATAGCCATTTTGGTTTAGTCCCTTTTTGTTTGATGGGTAGAATTTACTTCAGGATCTGACGGTAGCCAGGCTACAGCAATTATTAAGAATCTACTTATCATGCCCAGCAGAAATAAAAAATGGATTTCAATTCCCACCAGGAATCGTTTTTGTGTTTAGATAGAAATTATACATTTTACAAGATCTACAAACTCCTTTGCTATTCTTTCGTTCCAACAATTTTGATTCATCATCCACAACTGTCCAATTATCCAACCCCCAGTGAAAATCCACACAGAGAACAAAATTGTAGGAACCAGGGTTTTTTCCTCTTATGCTAGCAAGAATGAATTCTCTACAAATTTTGAAAACCCCAGTAATATTTATATAAACCCAAACGGGCTTGGTCTGACCTGGCCCAATATTTAATTAACCCATTTAATTAATTTCGGTTCGTTAATTAATTAATCCAATTAATTAATTCGGGCCTATAAATAAGCAACCCAATTAATTAATTTAACCAACACTTGTTAAATTAATTGATAAATTACAATCTTCTAATTCTTTTTTTGTGTACAACCCATCAGGTTTCCTATCACGATGCCTAACAACATAAAATATTATTTTGATTTAATCAAAATTGATAAATTAAAGCACCCTTTTAATTTATCACCGATTCACACTCGCCGTCCTAGATTGACATCTAACAATGTATCATGGCAATACATGTAACGAAAAATATCATGTAGTATGATAAAATCAAATTTGTTCGTTTATCATGAAACTATTATCTCTTCATCAATATAATCCGATCAATTATGAGATACGAAAGTATGTCAATCCCGGTTATCGATCATATGTTTCATTCTATAATTAAGTTGATATAAGTCAAAAACTTCTTTTTGACTTATGAGTACACTTTCGCCAAAGATTTCGTTATCGACTTAATTAAATAAAATGCAAATCATAATCCCTTACTATTTAAGAGCAACAAATCTTCTATTGGTCATTCACAATTTTCATACGATTCTTCACATAGCCAAATAATGCTGTATTAGTGGCCCTTGGCAGAGCAACATCCAACATCGTCAAAGCATGACTGTCTTCATACAAGGCACTATGATGACCTCAAGTCAAAGGACCAATCCCACTACCAAACGTTAGAGATTAACCAGTGACATTCAGATAGTTATCTATGTAGAATCTCTCGACGAGTCTCCAATGTTTTGTTCTATAACAAAACATCCGCGTATTCATTCAATTGTCATCACACTTTAGCTTGTGAGATCAGCTACTTATTTTACCAGTAAAAAATGTCACACGCGATGGTCTATTCTTAATAACGATATTCGTATCTCATCATAACTTATGACCTCGGATGATTTAAGATTCAATCATATATAATTTGTATCTCACAATCACAACTCCTTCTGATTAACAAATTACTAAGATTTGAATCTACGGACTCCAATATTTAATTCAATTGAATATTAATTAATTAAATAATAAATCTACTATAAAACACATCAACTATATATTAAAAAGTGTTTATGTCCATAGTCTATTGGACCTAGGGCTAACACTTACAATCCAAGCCTCACATTTTTGTGGCCAAGCATGGAACTTCCCTACAAGCAGTTGTTGGATCAGAACAACCAATAAATTCATGAGCCATCTACTGTGGAGAAATGCAATGAACTGGCCGAGCAGCAGTTCTACACTCGTCTTGCGAGGTTAATTTGTTTGTATTCTTAATGAGTACTCTTTAGGTTGGATGCTCTTTCTTGTGTTCATTGTGTCTTATTTTATACAGTCCTTCCGATAGCCTATCAAGTTCACTGAGTACCTGGAACTAATTTCCCATCCTGTGGTTTAAGTTAGCTACTATTAGTTTTGGACTTTTGATCACACTATTCTAATGCGTAAGAAGTTACAAGAATTGTTTCCCTTAGGATGGTGAGGTTTCTTACGAGATTAGAGAAATTTGAATCCTCTGTCACTTAATGCAAAAGTGGAAAATTATAAGGTCCTGATCCATAACAGTTAGGGCAGCCTGTTTTAAACATGCAAAATTATTTTATCGAAAGAATATGTGTTTGAAAATGGGTTCGGCAAATAATTAGTATCAAAAAGAGGTTTAATCTGTTGCGCACGTGTCGACCACAAAATATTGAAATGTGTTCTAAGTTTTAAGATTAGATCATGCAGATAGATGCACTCTTACATGTTACTGTAATTTAATGTATTAAAAATTTCGACAAATTTATTTAAAATAATTATAAGGTTTTCTTTTGCCTTATTTTGATTCCAAATTTATGTAAATTATCAATAATAAAAATATATGACATTAGTCCATCTATGATTTATTCATGGGTAAGGGGCAAAATGGCTCAAAGTCCTAAAGGTTTATGCTATTTTTTTGAGTTGAACAACTTTTTTGGTTTAACCTTTTTATGCTTGGCACCACCGACATGGTTTTCATTTGACATGATATGTGCAAAAGGTTCCCTCTCTCTTGCACCTCCATCTCCGAACATATGTTCGCAGCGGGGGGAGAATGGTTGGATGAAGTTATCTACATTACATGGAAGTGAAACTCATTGTATGGTATAGTGTAAAATGTGTTTCAGCGTATAATATGGAATTATTCCTGATAATATAATTTGATTTAGACATCAGGTTGTGGTCTATTGTTACCATGAGTTGCTGAGTGTGATTAATTGTAGTCACAATGCTCCAATAAAATCATCGAATCTATGTTATTACATGAGTTGCACGTCCATATTTTGCTAGTTTCTCTATTGGAAGTTTCCCAAAATGAACATGTCTTTATAAGTTTTCTTCACTTGTCATTTTCAGCATTCCTGGTCGTACAGAGTCATTCTGAAAGGATCTCGATTATGTCAAGAATGCTTGGAAACACTAGCAAGAGTTCAAGGTCGAGGATGCTGGCATTGCTACATCGTTTGGCCAAGATTACTTTGCATGGTTTTGTGCTGGCGAGATTGTGGGAAGAGGATTTACATTCATAGGTTACTATCCATGAAACAACCATTTTCGTAAAAATGATGTTTGGCCAATTAGTCATTGATAGTCAATACGAGAAATTGAGTCGTACATGTAAGATGTTGTTTACTGACATTTTATGTAGCTAAAATATCAATGATTAATACTGGATTGCCTCAATAATTAGCATATCTATTAAATTTCTCTCTAGTAGAGTGGTTGAGAGCTGTCCTATTCCAAGGATTTTGCTACTTGTGATGAATGCAAGTTTTTCCTTGCAGGATCTCTCTTTCGATGATGGTATCTACTGCATTGACGATGACTACCAATCCATTTTGTTTTTTCAAATTGCATTGGCTTGGTTCCCCAAATTTTTACATTGTGGGTCCTGAACCTTTGTATTTATCCGTAAAGTTATCCTGAGATTGAAATAATTTAAGACTTTGTTGTTCGTACACACTTGTTA